TAAAAATGATAATTTGATTGAGTTCCTTTTGTATGATTTATATTCACTTATTTATTCTATTTCTTTTTACTATTTTTTAGGTAGCATTCAAGTCTTTGGTGAATTTTTAAACGAAGAGGTTGCAAATGCAGCGGTAATTAGTGGAAAAGTTTATACTTAATTTTATTAGTATAAAAGTCTTTATCAATTTCTAAGTTAACATTTTGTTTTGACTAGCTCTTAACTTACCAACTGAATCCATCTCCTTTGACTAGCTAGAGTATCTTAGTTGGGAACTCTATCCGTTCCCAGCGCCTAGTTTCCAAAGACGAAGTTGAGATAGGTTGGGAACTCTCTCTTTCTCTCCTTTTGTTTTAGTTCCCAAGAAAGTTGATTGGATTGAAGAAAATGGAACAAAAGGAACTGAAAAAAAATTGAAATTTGTTGGTGCTTCTGTTGATATTGAAGTTGTAATATATTAAGACCCAAAAACTAGATAAATGACTAACTTTGATGTAAATTGATAACAGAGGTCAAAAAACAGTGAGTCTTACCTTAGAGTTTTTGGGGATATCATATTTGATAACCATATGATCTAGAAAATAATATTATGGGGGTCAATAAGAATAGTGCGCGCAGTGCACTATTTTTTTTTTAACAGAAATAGCATGCATATTGTCATTTCATCGAGTCTTGGTAGGCCTGAAGTCATTTGGAAAGGCATACTGCACACCTGTTAATGCCTCATTTGCGTGGATAACTAAAATGTTCCAAGGCTGCTCTCATATGAATACTTAACAAAGAAACACACTTATCTTGAACACACTAACAATGTTGGATATCATTGCATCACATTAATATGTTTGTCCAAGAATGATGATGCTTTGTTATTCTCTAAGATCACCATTTCATTTACTTTGCATTTTTGGATAGTCTTTTGCTTGGTTATTTTTTTTCTGCCTACAATTGTAATTACAACCAACAAACAAGTCATAGGTAAATAATTTTAGGACTAGACTGTAAAGGGGTAACACCTTTCTAATGCATTTTATCAAGCAGTTGAAGGGCATATATTAAGGACAATTCCAACCTTTAAAGGGGCAGCACCTAAGTCATCCATGGACATTCACCGAAGTTCGGACGATCAACACTCAAGTTATCCCTGGACATTTACTGAAGTTTGAGGGGGGGGGGGTCAGCTAACCCCCGCCCCTTAATGCATATGCCAGTGACCATATCCATTGATCAAATATCCAATCTTCTACTTGCCGCATCAATTCTTCATGCGTGAAATGTTAGAGACTCATAAATTTATCTAGTTACAAGTATACGATTTTTATGCAGGTTATAGGAAACAATAAAACTGTAAAGGCATAATATGTGTATATTTTAGTCATTTGATACATGTATGAGTGTAAAACAATAAAACTGTGAAGGCATAATTTGAGATTTAAGTTTGTATGACAATGATTAGGTTTTCTTTAAGTATTACATTTCTTACTTGAGATTAAATTTGTATTTTTACATATAGCAGTACAATAGATTTTGTTTTGCTCCATGTGCTTATGTCTATGCAGATAGAGATAACAATTAGTGTGGTTCAAGCATTAGGAGCAGTATTTCACTCTCAAAGGACTTCGTTTGGAGGTGTTCAAGGAAAAGTGAAGTATTTCAAGTGACAAATTTCTTACCGTATGCAAAATAAGCAGTAATTGTTAATGCTAGTCTTCGTTTACAATGTACGACGTATGCCGTAATTGCTTTCACAGTACTACGACACTCAACAAACGCCATATTAAATATAAATTACGGCACACAGTTATGCTATAATTATTTTCATAGTATTACGACACTTCATTAACGCCGTATCTAATACCAATTAAGGTGCGCAAGGTACACTTTAAAGAGCATTTACGACGTATTTTGCTTAAATTATTCACGGCTACTAGAGAACGTCGTATTTGACAAAACATCTTTTACGACAGGAGCTTTTACTGCTTGGGGGCTCACGTCGTAAATAACCATTTACGATGCTCTTTGTGCACCGTAAAAGACCAATTCTGTTTTAGTGAAGGAGTTTAGAATTGGTTATAATCTTTCATAAATTGATGTACGTTCGTTGGCAGTATTTAAACGAACAAATGTGTTCCTTTTGCAAATCTTGGGAAAGCCATTTATACAAACTGATATGACCTTACAAGAATAGTTACTACGTTTATGCATCAGGTTTGGAATCCAACGTGATTGTTCAAGAAAATTTGAAAGGGTATTTGGATGTCTATAAATCAAACGGTAGAATGGAGAATTTATACAACAATTTAATTCATCTTTCTTATATTTAAAATGTAGTTATTCTTTTGTTTGAAACAGATGAAGAGTTTGATTTGTGGAAAACTGATGATTGTGGGTGTATGAGAGTGAGGTATGAGGGTAGTAATGGAAAATATACGGGGTGTGTTAAGATAAACTTTAATTTAAAAAGTAAATGTGAGTGCAATCAACAAAATGTGGAGTATTAATATAACAATCTGTTACTTGCTCTCGTTTTTGTGTGAATGTATTGCTATTTGATAACAAATTAAGGAAGCAAATTCTTATGCTATTTTGAAGTTATTCTCTTGAAAATTTTCTCTTTTTTACTTAATTTAGTAAGGGGTGTGCTATCCACACATCCCATATTACTTCTCACACATCCTTGTTAATTTCTATCCGTTGATCTTCTTCAATTCATCCGATCCAACGGCCAAAAATTAGAATGGCGTGTGAGAAGTAAAATGGAGTGTGTGGATATCGGACAAGGATTGTCTGCCCTCCCACTTCCGGTGCCCTCCCACTTCTGGTGCCCTCCCACTTCTGGTGCCCTCCCATACCCTCCTGTTTGTGTGGTCACGGTTAAGTCACATAAACATTTTATATTATTATTTATTTTTACCTTATTATCTCTATAAAAAATAGTATAAAATGTTAACATGATTTAACCGTAACCATACAAAATAGAAATGTATGAAAGAGTACCAAAAGTGGGAGGGTGTGGATGTCACACCCCTTTAGTAAATATAAGTGAAAAGCTATAGTTGTTGGTGCATAAACAAGTAAAAAGTGATTTCCATTTCTATTATTATAGGCCACGTGAGCACGAATCCCATGCAATACCTGACACGTGTAACGATTATGACCACATGCGTATCATGGAGGAAAGCAAAGCTCATTTCATTACTACACCACATACTAGGAAGGACAAGGGCAAGATATTCCAGACAAGAACAAGATATCTCAATCACACAAAATTAGACACCTTTATATTCAATCACTCCAAATTTAGTAACTTTATGTAAAATATCTTGTTTTAGACCGTTAAGGGTATTAATGGTATATAAAAGACAACGTTAGTGTGAGATATTTATGATCAACTAAAATGTAACGCAAACAACTTTATAAATTATAATTATCTTTACACGCATAAACAACGGTTACTATTTTATCTAGTGGTAAAAATTGAATGAAAAAATAAACTCAAAGTGCAACTTATTAATTTGAGAAGCTTCACAGACTGACGTCAGCATTGCTATCCATGTTATCCCAGTAAAGGCGGCCACCGAAGGGTGAGGTGAACATTTCCTCCTCGTCCAACTGATAAATGACTTGCTTTAAAAAAAAAGAACTTTAACAAAAAGCTTTCGGTGTTGTTCATTTTAACGAAAAACCATATTTTTATGCTAAAAAGTCAATTCTGATACTATTCACTTTACCTTTTATTTTGTCCATATCGTTACAACTGAAAATTTTCAAACCATTTTCATTAGTTTTCTTTTAAAAATACCCTTTGCAATAGTTTTCATCCTTTAGTAGTTTATTTGTAGTTTTCTTATTTTGTAGGACTAAATGCAAAGAAAGGAATTTTGAGCCTGAGTGGAGGAGTTTTGAGAGCTTAAAGATGGTCCATGAACGTTCAAAAGAAGATTGCGGGATATCAAAGCGATGCCTAAAACCCGGAGGTGAAACAAAATTTGGAAAATCTGAAATGTGGGAGTTTCTGCCAAGCGACTTCAGTAGGCTGCCATTTATGCATCCAGAGAAACCAGATTGCATAGCACATATGGATGGAAAGCTAAGGAAGTCTTCTTTCAAATGGCGCTAGAATCATGTCAATCCGGTATTCGTCCAATGAATTATGGTCGTTTTAGTGACTGCTGTCCGGATTTCAAAATTGTGCAGTCCGTTTGAGCTGGGGATTTAAACCACAGCTAGAGAACTATTCTGACCATTTTTGTAGGAAAGTTCGTGCTTCCCTTTTATGCCCAATATTATACTTCATATTCCTCACTAAATTGACAAGTGGAGGGCTGAGATCAAAACCGAAACAATTGGGATTTAAGGGAAGATTCCAAGCGATGAAGGGAAATAAGGAGACGGCTGCATGCCTGTTTTGGAGGAAGAAACGAAGGAGAAAAGACGAAGGCAGAGAAGAGAAAAGACACGCATACCTTCCTTATAGGTGCCATGCTTGTCTTCCGCTGTAACAGTAAGACTATAGTGTCCTACGTTCATTTTGGTGTTGCAGTGGAATATATAATCTACCTCAGCAACAGGTGTGAATAAAGTTGGGGATCTGGTAGAGTTTTGTAGTACCTGGGTCTCTCTCTTGTGTTTCCTCATATGATAATCGATTAATGTCGGGTTTCTCATGAGCACGTACGATTAAAGTAAGAATTCGTTTGAACTACTTTTAAAATGATTGAAATTGTTACGAGTGTAAATATTTTTAGGTTCTAAAAATACTTGAAGCATGTTTTGAAAGAAAAATTAATTGTAGAAAACACTTCTAACTGCATTTTCAAAATTCACTTATGTTTTTGCTATGAATCAATTCCAAAAACATTTTTAACAAAAACGTTTTTGATTATTTTGAAAACACTTCCAAATAAAATAAAATGAAGGAAACATAGAGCCACGACGTTCAGATTAACCAATAGGTGACAAGGAAGGAAGGCCAAGTTACACCCAGGCCACCAATTCAACCCTGAATAAAGAAACAAGTCAACTCATGCAATACCTGACACGTGTAAGGCCTTATGACCACAGAAGTACCTCACTTCACTGCTACACCACATACTAAAATAGGGCAAGATATTTCCACAAAAGAGCAAGATATCTCAATCATACAAAATTAGATACCTTTATATTCAATCAATCCAAATTTAGTAACTTTATGGATATTGATTCTAAATATCTCACACTAACAGTGTATTAATTAATACCATCAATACCCTTAAAGGTCTAAAACAAGATATTTCCCTTAGACTAAAATATAACGAAACAACAATATATAAATTATAATTATTTTTACACGCATAAACAACAGAAATTTTTTTTTTAATGGCAAAAATTAAATCAAAAAATAAACGCATAGTGTCCTTTAGGGATGATGAATAGACCTGTATAAAATATCTATTACTTTGAGAAGCTCCACAGATTGACGTCATCATCATTGCTTCCCATATCATCCCAGTTCATGTTGCTACCAGCTGAACGGCGAGGTGGAGAGAGCAGAAGCCCTTCCGCCATACTATCAAGCAACCTTGGCATGGCGAACATTTCCTCCTCATCCAAGTAAAACGAGCTGCCACTTTGCTCCGCACCTCCACAATCGCTTTGCTCCGCACCTCCACAATCGCTTTGCTCCGCACATCCACAATCCTTCTCCCCCTCCATTTTCTTGCTCTCCTTCTCATCATCCCCACTTTCCGACACTCCGCCAAACTCGGCTGGCCTGAATGTCTCTGCAGCCTCCGCGGCCGCCCGCCTGATATCCACTGAATCAGTGGAAGCCGGGACAGGCAGGCGCCATGCGGAGTCTGCAAAATTGAGGCAGGCAAGCCTCCCTCTAAAGGCCAATGCCGCCACGTCATGCGCCCGAGCTGCCATCTCTGCCGTTGGATAAGTTCCGAGCCATATCCTCGACTTCTTCTTGTTTGGTTCTCTCATTTCGCACACCCACTTGTCGTTGTTCCTCCTCCTCACTCCTCTGTAAACGGGGTGCCTTGTCTCGTTGAAAACTCTCCTCCCCGCTCGCTTCTTCGGCGTGCTGGACGCCAAAATGACCTCCTCATCGGAGAACGAAGTCGGCTGGCTTCGAGTCGTGACGCTTTCGGAACTCGATTCGGGCCTTTCGGCGGAATCGGAGAGTTGTCTGGAGATCGTGTTCATTTGTTCTGCTGCGTCGGAGAAAGCTGTGAGTTGAGAGTGTGTTTTAGCACAAGTTTTGGGGTTGCAGGCTGACAACTGGGGAGAGAGTGAGGTGGCTTTTATAGCTTTGGATTGGGAGGGTCTTGAGTGGGCCCCGGGTCCATGCGAGTTGCACACGGAGAGTGAGGAGGACGCCACGTGGAGAAATGTTGCCCACATAGGCAACTTCCGGTGTTCCCACACACAAAAACAGAGTGTGACAATGTAGAGAAAATATATAGAATGATTTGACTTTGACATTGTGAGGACCGTTGGAAGCTGGCAGAAGGAAACCTACCCAACTAAGTATAGTTCGTATTTTATTTTATTTTAAATATACTACGGAGAATTTAAAATTTAAAAATATTACAATAAAACATCATTAATCACAAAATAATAAGTAAAACTCAAATACTGGTCCGAATTCATCATAACTGTACGTGTTATTCATTTTTTCTTTTTTGTTACTGAAATTGTGGCACCTTTTAATGTTGATGTGTTGTGTGTGAAGTGTGTGTGCTGTGGATCCCAGGTAAGTTCCTTGCCGTAACATTTTTCCGGTTGTCCCTTTTTGCTCTCACATGGAGGAAACCACTTCTTGATATATATTTGAATACAATTGTTATCTCATACAATATTTTTAAAATATATATTATATATTCAAACTTTTATTTTAATTACAACTTCATACATTAGTTAATCAAATTGTTAATTTGATCGTTAAATCAAACTGTGTGAACTGTTCGTCACGCTTTTTTGTTGATGTGGGAGTCAGTAATATGCCACATAGGACACAATAGCAATTCACGGGTTTTGGCACTATTCATAAGTTACAGTAAGATTAGGTTGATTTTGATTTATCTACCTTTTTGCCATTCTTCACAAAAATGGGTTGATTTTGTTTTATTTACCGTTTTGCCATTTCGACTTTTGGGCCTAATGTGGCCTTCGGTTTGGATTTGGCCTGGTTTCAAATCCAACGGGTGAGGGTGAAAGATGGGTGGGCACGAGGGAGGAGAGCGGCACCAGGTGGGGAAATGTTGCTGGCATATATGGTCAAGTTCCGAAGTTCCCAACACACGCACACAAAAATAGACACAATGTGGAGAATATATAGATTGATTTGACTTTAACCATATGAAGACTGGGGACAGGTGGCAGAAGGAAGCTTACTGAATTAAGATGGTGATTTTTAAGAAAGTACCGGATTTCGTTCGTAAGTTGATACAACGGCATATGAAATTATGAATACATGCACTCGGTTTCATAAGATTTCTTGCAAATTAGATTCAAAAATAAGTTTTTTAAGTTAAAACGATATTTAAGATTTGCTTAACTTTTACTTCGGTTCCTGAGATTTGAAATAGATAGAATTGGTCCATGAGTTTATTCATAATCAATCATTTTAGTTATTCTGCGAAAAATCTCTATAAAATAATAAAAATACTCTCAATTTTAGTCAAATTATTTTGGCATATTGTTTATTAAATTGAGGATAATTCTGTCATTTTGATCCGTATTTAACATAATTTTTCACTTAATGACCAAAATGATTGATAGTGGACAATCTCATGAACCACTTCTATTGATTTCAAATTTCAAGGATCAAAGTGAAGAGTTATACAAATTTTGAAAATCATTTTGACCGAAAAACATTAAAAATATTATAATAAAGCATAAGTAGTTACAAATTAATGAGTAAACTATAAGCACAAGAAGAACCGCACACGTTATTTACTTGTTCTTTTCTTTTTGTACTGAAATTGGCACGTTTTGATGTGGATGTGTTACGTGCGAAGTGTGTGCTGTGGATCCCAGCTAAGTTCTTTGCGGCAATATTTTTTGCGGTTGTCCATTTTTGCTGTCCCACTTGGAGGAAACCACTTCATATTTACATTATCGGATAACAGAAATCTCATACATTTAAAAAGAAATAAATAAATAAATCTCATAGACAAACTTGTATTTTAGTTGTAATTTTCTACATCTGTTACTCAAATCTTCAAATTAACATAGAAAATAGAATTTTTTAGAAATGTTAATCTAAGAAGGAAAATATTTTAAATATAATTTGTTTTAAAGAATAACCTAAATCACGCTGTCACTGATGGCACCTCTTTCTGGAACTTTTGCAACGGACTCGGATCCTTCTTATGCGAAGCCAGCGGACGGTTTTATCCTGGCCGTTGATGTACAATCCTGCGGCACAAATTAATTCAATTATTTTTTCACTTTTTCGGGGAACCTCGTCGTCGTCCGCAACCCAACCCTTCCCCGCTACCCTTTCGTCACCGAATTTGCTAGAAGACTAACCTTCATATCTCCAGAAATCAGAAGTTGCAGAAAAGATTCCATGAAATTATTGTGTATGCTAGAAGATTGACCTTCATATCTCTAAAAATAGAGCAAAAACCAACAAGGAAAAAGGGGGAAAAAATCTCACTAGTTGCGCAATCCATAGAGAGGTTGGGGATTTTGTGTGAATTGTTGGGTGAGGGATGAGATGGGTTTATGGGAAGAGGAGGTGATGAAGATTGAGGGTTTTAGTTGCACCTGGTCAGGCAGATGGAGAGACTCTGCCATTAATTTGGTTGCATCGCTTGTTTGGGTAGAGAGAGACGGTGAGAGAAGGAGGGCCGGTGGAGTATCATTTTCCGTGAAAACGCAGTAAATATTGGTATTGATTTTTCTACACCTTTGCAGACCTCTGTCGAGCATCGTCATCATCATTGACTATCACCAAACGAAAATTATAATTACAAGAAATTGACAATCACAACGCAGTCGGACTTCAGCCGGAACTCGGAACTTGATTCTAATCTCTCTGGCGGTGGTTCAATTTCCGGTAGGAGGTCCTGAAGTCACATTCAACTTCGATGAGCTGCTGTGTCGCAAATTTTCAACTTCAGTAGAGAAGGGATTTAGAAGCTCAAGGCTCAAACCAGCAACAATAAATGGTAAAAAAATGAAGAAGTTTGCTGAGCGTCGTTGAGATTCTTAGGACCCTCAGTAACGATGTCGATTCTCTAAAATTGGTTCAAAATCTTTGTTTGGGTTAAAACTGGAACTTTGGGCTCAAAAAGAAGTTAGCCCAGAAGAAGGTCTAGAAGGAAGGAAGCCCAAGGCTCAGTCGAAGCCCAGAAGGCGGAAGAAGCCCTTTTCCCGACTAAGTGCAGATCACTTGAGTCACTTGCTCACCTACCTAGAAGTCAAGTGGTGTAGATTAGCCAGCTAATCAGCCCAAAAGTACTTTACAATGGCAGTACAAGTAAAAAGCTGATGAGTCACTACCATTTAGCCGCATTTAGGCAAGATCGATGCTGCAGGCAGCCAAGCCAAATCATCTATAAAAAGGGAAAGAGAAATCAGAGATAGGGACACTCAATCAAACAAACAAATACACAAACTCTGCTCAAGTCAGATTTGCATACGAAGCTGTAGTCAGTACCAAGCCTTCATCATTTTCAGGATCAACCTTCACCAAAAGCCTTTGTAAAAGCTCTGCTACCTTTCTGAATCTTGCTGTAGTATCAATCCCCTCATGTAAACTCATCTCTCAATTTCCCATTCTAGCACTCAAACCCTTTATAAATCACAAAGAGAGGAAGTTGCAAGACAATCAGCCTTGCCCAACAAGGTGAAACCTTGCCCGACCCTGTTTGTTTTGTCTTTTCATTCATAAATCTAGTAATATGATGTATACTTCCTTCTGTATCCAAGTTATTTCTAGTAAGGTTATGATTAAAAGGCTTCTTGGTTTTTGGATCTGGTCGGTTTAATGGTGCCCAACCATGCAAAAGATAAAGTTGGAATCTGCACTCATAGTTTGACTAAATCTAAGTTCTAACCTTTCGGGCATAAAAGATTTATCAATCAAAGTCCTTGGTCTCAAGGCATAAAAAAGAACTTTATGTGGGCTTAACCCATCCACAACAATCCTTGATAACAAGAAGTCCGAAGTTACTTGGGGCGCAAGTAATCAGCCTATTTCTTAGTTTTACTTCTGTTATATTATGATTGCCACAGAACGTTTGAGTATAGAATTAATTCTGATGGGAAGCCTCAAGGCCTATACTTAAGGCCTTATAAAGGCACCTATCTGGGTTCGTTTTGCTCTTCGGGCTCGAGTGATTAAAGTATAACAGTTGTAATATTTCTGCAATAATGAATCAACCACTATATGTTCGAGTACTTGGTTAGTTTTGATTGCGAGCCTCAAGGCCTACACCTAAGGCCCTACAAAGGCACCTTTCATAGCTAACTTGGTCTTTCGGGCATATACAATTAAACTAAACATCTGTTTTACATCTGTCATGCTAAAGATGGTAGTGGCACGCCTGAACACCTAAAGTTAATTTTGATTGTGAGCCTCAAGGCCTACACCTAAGGCCCCACAAAGGCACCTTTCAGAATTAACTTTGTCATTCTCTTACAGCCCGCCAATAAGCAGAAGCCCGACCAACAATATCAACCGGCGCCAACCTCTTGGGGAGCTGTGTGCTTGTCGGCCAAGAAACGTCCCCATCAGAAATTCCTCTAAACGAACATAGTTTTGCACGCCTGATGAGATCTCTTGATCAAATCTTACTTGTCAAAGAAATATGTCAAAAATACCTGAAGATTTAAAAAGGCTGGCTGTTCTAGAAAAAATAATTAATGAAGGCTTGCAAACTACCTTGTTGCAAATGTTGCAAAGATTGGAAAACGCCTTCGCATGCTTCAGAAGGAAAACAGACTTGGTTATGGGACCAACTATTCTCATATCTTTACCTCTACTTGGGGAAAAAGATGATGGGGAAGAAGAAAGAAAAAAGCTTGAGGCCAGCCAGCTAGATGAAGAAATGACCTTGGTAAAAAACCCATCTAGCCCATTAATATTCTTACAGAAAGATCAGGGGCAAGTCGAAGCAATAGTGGACAAGCATGCAGATTCCTTTTCAGAGGCCCCCGTAAATATGATTAATTTAGCATGGGTCGAGAAGGGGAATGGAAAGGTTGCAAGAGAGACAGAAGAAGAAAGGCCGACTGACAAATCCACAAAAGGGGTGATCAACTTGCCTGAACATCCAAAAGCAGCTATAATCAAAGGGATGGTTATGTGCAGTAGATGCTAATGCGAGTGTGAGCTTGAAATACTGCCAGCAGGAGTCCTCATTGATCATGAGCTGATCAGGAGGAAATAAGAAGAAGAAAGAAAAGAAGCCCGCAAGAAAGCTAGGCGGACAGCAGGAAGAGATACTTCCCGAAGTGTTTTTCAGCGGTTGGAAGAGGATTCCCAACCTAGAGCTTTATCAGAAGTGTTTCGCAATCATGAAGCTTCTGAGGAGGCGGAAGGCAAGGAGGCCAAAGGTCCAAAAAAGAAGGAGATAGGGCATCCTCAATATGGCCATACAGGAAGAGAAGTCAAAAGGAATGATAGGATAACAAATCCTGTCAAAAAAGATAATCCTGCCCATCTCGGGCGAAAATGGTACATGGTCGGGAAAAATGGGCAACCCGCCAAACAAATGGGAGCCTCCATTATTAGAAGGGTCCAGAGGCAGCACAAAGCCTACATGAACTCTTTAAAGACTCCCGCGACGTCTGAAGCCTCTAAGAATCAAAAGTTTGAAAAAACATCATCTGGGGGAAGTAGTAAGTTCCACTAGAGGAGTAAAAAAGAGGTAGAGAGGGCTAATAGCAAAACAGAAGGCGAAGGAAACCATGTACCAAAAAGCCTACACTCTGGGAAGTACAAGATCTTGAGGAGAGCTCAAGAAGATATGATAATGATGCCAACTCCCGGATGGAGGACATAACCTATTTGTTTTGGAACTATTTCACCCGAAAAGAGACTCCCTTCTATATCATTAGTGGATCCTTTCGACGAAGTGCCAAATTAGATACTAGATTCAGGCATAAATCAACAGGAAGGGGTATTAG